TATCACTTATTATATGGTATAATAACATAACACATATTATTGATTATATAATAAACATCATGATGAAATTATAAACATAAATAATAACATAAAAAAGAGTAAAATATTTTTCATTAATAAAATATTGGTAATCATTTTACATCATTAAATTAGACACTTATTATTGAATATTTCTAATTTTTACATTAAAAATACACTTTTTATTTCTTCTTTTCATATTTTATTACATCTTTGTGATTTATTATTTTTATATTCTTCTTCTACTTTCTTTTTATTCTTTTATATATTTATATTCTTTTTATATTATTTGGTTTTCTTTGGGGTTCTATTTCTTTCTTCTATTATTTATCAATTTTATATTCATTTATTCATTCTTTTTATTTCTTTTTTATTAGTTCTTGAGTATTGTATATTTCTTTAATATTTCATTTGTGTATTATCAAAATATATGTTTTATTGATTTTATGTTGAACAAAATATTGAATAAATCAATATTTCAATGTTAAATATTCATTCTTTATTCTGAAATGTTGTGTATATTTATTATATTAAATTAATATGATGAATGAATATCAATATTATTGTTTATTTGAGTTAAAAAAATAATAAATGAATATGAAATAATAAATGAAATAAAATAATGAAATAAAATAATGAAGACAATGAAATGATAATGAAATAGAATAATCTAATATTGAACAAATCAAATAAAGAATATATTGAATATATCATTATTGTTACTTTATTATTTGTTATTTCAATTATTAAATATTAATAAATTATTATTCATGAATATTTAATTGATTGATATTTATTTTATAATTTCATTTTCATTTTATTTAATAAATGAAATATAAATAATAAATGAATGAATAATAATTTAATATATGAAATAATAAAAAGAAAGATAAATAATAAAGAAATATGATGTATTTAATATATAATATAATTTATTATCAAATATATTAATAATATCAAATGATGAATTATTTTTATTTCAAAATATTTTGCATCAATAAAATATGTTGCTAAATATTTTGCATCATTAAATTTTGCATCATTAAATTTTGCGCTTTTTTTATTTGTTGAAATAAAATTTGCATCCTTTATTTTTTTCATTCTTTTCTTCTTTTATATCTTTCTTTCTCTTCTTTTTCATTTATTTGCTTTTTTTCGTTGCCATATTTATTCTATTTGTTAGATTTTATTTTCTTTGTTTATTTGTATGTTTATTTGATGTTATAATATTAAAAAGTAGTTATTTATCATTTCAACTTTTATTTATTCTATTTCATGTTTGTGAATTACTTTGTTTTGTTGTTCTGGTAGTGTTAACTGATGAAATTATGAGATGATATTACTTCATTTATTTTCATTGTTTATTTTTGTTGTATATTCTAAATTAACAATTACTTTCATACATTTTTTTTCTGATTTATACATTGTACAATATGATAGTCATAGTACAGAGTGTTTATAATATTAATTAGTTAATTGATTTATTAGTAACAAATGAATATATTGTTTTTATAATGTTTTTCATGTGATTAGTTACTAATTCTCATTATTTATACTTGTTCATTATTTATTGAAATGAGAAGGATAATATGAATTGTTAATTGTATCAATTAAATTATACATCATCATTTATTGATATTCAAATGTATTTTGTCTATTTCATAATCTCATTTTTAAGAATGACTTACGATTTGAAATGATGAGTGGTGAAATTGTATTTTATTAATTAAATTCATATTGTTCATTCTGATTTGATTTTTAATTGAATAAATACTACTAAATCAAATGATTGAATAATATGTGAGTAATATAAAAATGAATGTTGAATAATATGATAAATAAAGATAAGAAATATTGAAATGAAATAATATATTATCATTCAAAATAGCAAATAACAAATTAACTAAATATAATACAATACTATTTAATTACTAGAATAATTATAGTTTTTTTTTTCAAATTATACCTTATATCTTATAATGTATATCATTATAAAACATTCATTATTTATTATATTAAGAGTAATTGCATCAAACTACATATATTGTAGTAATACTCTGTTTATTATAGTAATAATTTAGTATTGACAAAAATAAATAAAAAAAGTTGATTCAATTAGATTTAATTACTTCATATTTTTAAAAGTATTTTTTTAGCAATTTTTTTCATTTGTTTTTCTTGAGTAGAAGATGTTTTTTTAGCAATTTTTTTAGCATTTTTTTTAAGTGATTGTCTTTTCTTTTCATTGTTAAGTTCTTTGATAACTAATTCTGTTACAATCTTCTCAATTTCCTTTGGATTTTTTCTCATTTTTCTAGTCATACGAGTAACTTTCTTTGTTTCAAAAACGAGCATTTTCTTATCTTTTTGTGCTTGTAACTTTAATATATTAATTTCTTTTTTCACATCGATTAATTCTTTCTTTTATTG